CCATCCTTACAGTGCAAATGTGAAGAGTAGTTGAGGTCCACACTCTTCGAGAAGAGAGAGAGAGAGAGAGAGAGACAGGTGGGAGAGGAGTTGTGTGCACGAGTCTCTCGGCATTGGGTTATATGCCTGTATACTATCCAGTGTCAATGTAGCACAACATTTATGTTGCACAAAGCAGGGGTAGGTATGGGTGGGGGTAAATTACCATGGTAACTCCAAAAATACGTGTATACTTTTTATGCTCAATAGTCGATTGTAATCGACAATCGTGTATAAAAAGTTTTTATAACAATTACTGTTTTAGGCATAATATTTGTATTTGTAATAATTATTTATTGATCATTTATTTATTTACAAATACATTATACAAAACAAAAATAATTATAATTAAATGTATGATAAATGTTATCAAATTAAAAATATAATTGAATTTGAATGCTTTGAAAGCAATGCAACGATTAATACATATATTAATGACTGAAAAGTTTCACATAAATTGTGTTTCAATTTGTCGTCGATTTAGTGATAAAAATGTGAAATAATCTTAAAATTAAAGCAAAGAAATGAAAACATATCACAAATTTAAGGCATAACTAAATTACACTAATTATAAAAAACCCAAAGTTTTGTATTCATATGATTATACAATATATATAGTGAACACCTCTTTATAGTGAACTCATTAAATGGTACGCAAAGACACCGCCGGACAGAAGGAAAGTCATGTATTTGTCGGCAATGATTGTGTATCTCATATATCCATTGGGTTTCATATGTGTGTTGTCTGTCTTATACATGACTTAGAATTTATATATTAATTAAATTGTATTTATTTATTAATGTAGGCGTTATATAACACAACCAATTCTCGCCTTAACTGATCATTTTCTGCCCTTAACTGACGGTATTCGGCGTCCCGTAACAGTCGGTATTCAGCGGCCGTATTGTCCGACCGGGTCTGAAGTGCCCGATATTGTCGGAGAATTAAATGGGGGTCAATAATAGGAGGTTTTGATTTTGTTGTTGACTAAATAAAATAAAATAAAATGAATTATGGTTTAATTATATTTAACCCTTGAACGCAACACATAAAACAAAGTTGCCTTTTTCACGTTGATAAATTTTACATGCATGTTTTATATATGTAATCAATGTAGAATTCAACGCTGAGTTCGAATCTGGAATCCAAAATGTTTTATCTCGAATATTTTTCGAGTTATTCGACTTAGAATATGTTTTATCAAAAATTTTAAAGTGACTTGATCTATTAATATGATATATGAATTCGATGTAGAATTTGACTATAAACTCAAATATGCTATAAATTTTTAGTTGTACTTGATAGATTTTAAATTATTAATAGATAAAATAATTGTCACTTACTTTTTGCTGATTATTTTGATATGTACATTGTTTAAACGCGTTTGATAAATATTTAAGGACATAAAACACATCTCCAAGTGCTCTTCTCAATCTAGATATGTAATCAAATTGTTTTAAATTGTCACTAATTATAAAAATCGACGACATACTGGAATAGTAGATGATGTTTCCATTTCTAAATGATCACTCGGATGACAATCAATGTGCCACCATTGGCCACATTCAGAACAAATTATCCACACACTGTTATCAAGTGTATGACATTTGCCACAACGAGTTTTCCATTGCTGAAGAGAATATTTAGGCTCGTAATCATTTGTTTGATCAGTAAGAGCCGGACGATTTGTCAAGTTTTCTCCATAAATACAACCACGTTTAGTTCTCTCAGAATCGCCTTTAATTAACAGTACAATATAAATAAACTACTATAATATTAAACAAAATTAACATACTTGTGACAGCAGTGCATGTTGTGGTAACTTTTGAAATCCGTTGTTTCTTTGGGGCAAAGGCTTTATTCATTTTTTGAATAAAAAAATTGGCCATTGGGTGAGAGTCTGTAGATTGTATTCTCTTGAATGTCTTTAAGTTTGGACACAATTCCTTCCAAGAATCGTCTTTAAAAGGATATAAATTCGACGGTTCAAAGACTACAGGACTGATAGCTTCAAAGCTAAGTGGGTGAAGCCCTGTCATTTCAAATCCTTTTATTAGACATTTCTTAAACATTGGTTGAGACGTTTCCCATAAAATTCTGAGCATATTAACCAATTTAGCATTGCCCGCATATGTGTTTGGAATCAAATGCTCGGCAACAATTTGGCTCCAAATCTTCTTAAGTGATGCAAAGCAATTGACGTCTAATTGTATTTAAAATGATATTTATACAATAAGTATAATGACTAACAATAACTATGTTAATAAAATTACCCAACGGTTGCATTAGATGTGTTAAATTTGCGGGAAGTTTTAACAGTTTCACATTTGCTTGCCGTGCGATTTCAATGGTTTTCAGGTTTCCATGTGAGGAATGGCCATCAAATATCAGCACCACAGGGCCATTATAACCCGCAGGTTTACGCGCGTTTGACTCAGGAATAAAGACTTCAGTCAACCAATCTCTGAAGATATCATTGTCGATAAACCCAGACTTTGATATCTTTACAAATATATTATTATTAATTTAATTAATATATGATATTATGTTAACATACGGCATATCTCGCTAATGACCAATTTTGCCACTCCTTATTCATGTGATTGCTTCGGAATATTATCAACGGAGAGAGAACCTCACCTGCGGCACTTCCACACATAAGAAGTGTAGAGAAACTGTATTTGTTAACAGATGTGTTAACCGTTACAGGTCTCGAGCGCTCAGCAATAACTCTTCCCGAAAAATAATCTGATAATCCCATCTCATCAGCATTCCAAGTCACATGTGGAAAGGCTTCTTCGAAAGCCGAATCACTCAAACCCGATAATTCTTTGCACTCATTTTTAGCGACTTGTGAATTAAGATTTAATTATATAATTATATGAATATAAGATAAGTAACATTAATTACCACTTAACACATTATGTATGAAGTCAATGACGGCCGGTTCTTTTGATGCCTTTAAGTGAATAATATCTCGGTGTTGTGGTGTTCGATAATTGATTTCCTTTGTGTATTTCTTCACAAATACTTTAGCGAAATTGTTTGCGTCAAATGATTTAAGATCTTGTCGATAGGTATTCACATATTCTTTCATTAAGCTAATGGAATGTCAATATGTATTTATATAATAAGAAAATTAAAACAGTATATAATACGATTATTAATAAATTTTATGTACCCTGCGATTTGAAAGGCCTTCAATCCAAATCCCATTCTTGATCTGAATTTAATGAGAGCCAATAAGGTCTGTTCCTCATCTTCTGTGAAATACGGTGGTCTCCCAAATTGTCCGATTGATTCAATTGTTCGTTTGCCATTAAGTCTATAATTGAACGAACTTCTTGAGACTTTAAACAAATCGGCGATTTCTGTCTGTGTGAACTGAACTCCTGTCACAGGATTAAGTTTGGGTATTCCTTCACAATCAATGCATTCGCTCTTCCAATACTCAATAGCACCAATCAAAGCCTCTGGTGGATAGCTGAGCGCCTAATTTAATTAATAATTATATTCAGTTAAAATTCAGTTTGAAACTATAAATTCGATTTAAAAATTAATCTCATAATCATAATTAGCGTTAAAATCTACATTGAATTCATATATCATAAGTAGGTCTGACATGTAATTTTTATGTGTTGCACTCGAGGGTTAAATAATATTTTTAAACATAATATTCAATTGTATTTTTATAAATATCATTATAAAATTTAATCACCAAGGTCATTAAAATAAAAAAATTGGACAGCATCCTGGGGCGAACTTTAATATTAATTTTTATATCATTAATAAATTTTTTTAAATTTTATAATTTATTTAAATACATAAATATTATTCATTTATAGTGTACCTTTTTGGGCTTATCCATTTTGCCCAAACAACTACCCGTAACGTTAGGCCTAATTAAATAATAATTTATATTTAATTATTAAAATAAAACACTTTTAATTATAATTTTAGTGTAAAATATTGGTCTCTCTCTCTCTCTCTCTCTCTCTCTCTGTGTGAACTGAACTCCTGTCACAGGATTAAGTTTGGGTATTCCTTCACAATCAATGCATTCGCTCTTCCAATACTCAATAGCACCAATCAAAGCCTCTGGTGGATAGCTGAGCGCCTAATTTCTCTCTCTCTCTCTCTCTCTCTCTCTCTCTCTCTCTCGTGTATTGAATAGTAATGCGAAACGAGTGATGAAACTCATTGTTACGGATATGGGAATGAATTAAACCATTAATTTTAAACACATTTTCTGATTGTAATTGTATTACTATTCACACCATAAGTATAGCTATAATACAGTAGGGATCGGTATTAAAGGCGATGATATTAGAGATGTAGGTAGCTTTGACTGTACTAAAAAATGGTGTCAATTGTATACCAGAGGGTAGTGTCACCCGTAATACCAACCTCTTTAATACTGATGTTTACTGTAATCAAAATCGACACCCTTTTCACTTTCTCTCTCCCCTCTGATTGTGATATTGTTTTATTAACTGTATGTTTGTCTGGTTTGAAAAATAGGGCATCAATAGCCGGTCGGACCCGAGTCTTAAGGTTACCGCCGATGGTATGGACGTGTCGATAGTGGGAACGCCTGACGAGAAAGAGTTGCTCAAAAAGATTAATCCCAAACGCGGCCGCAAATTATCGCAAGTCAGTGATAGTGGCAGTAGTAGTAGCGATGGCAGCGGTAGTAGTAGTAGTAGTAGTGACGGATCAGCGGCTAAGCAAAAGAAGTCTAAGAGATCGGTGGCCGCCGTCGCCGCCAAGTCCTCGAAGAGTACGCGTCGTAACAGTAATAGCGGTGTCGATAATAAACAATCGCCGGCCAAACAGTCGCCGGTTAAACAGCCGCCAGCGGCCAAACAATCGCCCATAAATAAAACGGCCAGAAAGTCGACGCAAAACACGGTCGCAGCGGTGGTGAACAAGAAGTCGACCGCAACTAATAGCACCGCCGCCGCAACGGCTGCGCCCACTCGTCGATTGACCAGACATTCGGCCAATAATAGTGGCGCTGTGGCCGTGACGTCGCCACCGGCCAAGTCGTCAGCAGCGGTGTCGCCAAAGAAGCCCACAAAGAAGTCGCCAAAGACTAAGGCCAATGGGCGCTCGGCAGCGGCCTTGAATGCGGCCATAACGGCGACCAACGCGGCCGTCGCCCCACCAGCTCTGTTAACACAGTCGGCCGCCGGTAAGAGTAAGGCTCAACAGCCGGCGCCGCAGCCGGTGGTGGCCCACAAGCGGTCGCCATCTTCGCCGGTTCCGCCGTCGATGTTCACCGCCTCCGCCACTACTGGCGGTCCCAGCGGTAGTGCCGTAGCGAACGCCAGCCTCGTTCGGGCCACGAAGAGTCAGCCAAAGCCGCCTGCGGTTAAGGCCGACGCTGTGACCGCCGCCGCGGCTGCCGTCGCCCCTCAGAAGACAAGCGCAAGTATGTGTTGTTTACCACAAGTGTGTTGTTTATATACATATTGTCTATTTTTTGTCGCCACCGATATATGATGATAAAGCTTGGCTGTGGTTATGATTAAGCTAGTAATTAAATAACCATGATTTATTTTCAAGTTTAAAACTGATTATGGCGTTTATTTAAATAGCATTTAAATGTGTTTTACACCACATTTATTTTGCTAGATTATTATTTGTTTCACTCTAAATACACTTTTATTTAAATTAATATTAATTAATTCACTGTATTTTTCCACCCTTTTTGTTATTTCAGAAGCGATTAGTAATTCTGCGGTCAAACCGGCGGCCAAAGCACCGCAACCGCAAAGAGGGGCCAAACGTAAACTGCCGGCCACTGGCGCTGAGCTCAAAGCCGATCGGCCGCCTGCAGAGCGGCCACAAACCAAACGCCAGCGGAACAGCTCGGCCTCCAGTTCCCCACCGGCGGCGACGGCGGCCACAGCTATAGAGAATGGCCAACAGAGGGCCAGCAAACGGGTGCGGCTACAGTACCAGCCGTTTCAGTCGCCGGAACCGTTGCCGGCGATGCCGCAGCTGTTGAGGGCGTCGGTGTCCACAGCGGCGGCCAAACCGCCCAAACAGGAGGAAGAGGACAAAGTGGTTATCTATCATAAGAACGAATTCCTGGCCGTTAGGAACGACTCCAACGGTTACTATATATGTCGGACCAAACAGAATGTGTTTAAGCAGAGCCGCAAGTTTACCATCTTGTGGTTCAACAACGATAAACAGAGGCCACAGGTCTATACGGCAGACTTCTTTGATGTGACTGATTTTGAGTGCATTCTGACTAATGTGACCATGGACAGACTCGACAAGGGCCAGTTTGAGCTGCCCGACCATGAGAAACAGCGTATATTGAATATACTTCAGCGCGCCATCAATCTCGAAAAGGTATGTGCTCTCTCTCACTCTCTCTCGCTCTCTCTCTCTCTCTCTCGTGTATTGAATAGTAATGCGAAACGAGTGATGAAACCCATTGTTGCGGATATGGGAATGAATTAAACCATTGATTTTACACACAATTTCTGATTACAATTTGCATTACTATTCAAAACATAGCATTTGTTATTTTTATTGTATTTTTATTTTTTATTTACTGTATTTTTTTTGTATTTGTCAACCAATAGGGGATCAACAGCTGGTCCGACCCGAATCTCAAAGTGATCGACGATGTTATGGACGTATCGACAATGGGATCCGCTGCTGACGAGAAGAAGTTGCTCAACAAGATTAGTCCCAAACGTGGCGGCACAGCCTCCGCAGCCGCTGGTAAACCATTGCAAGTCATTGATAGTAGTAGTGATGGCGGATCGGACGCCGGCGAGCAGTCGAAGACATTGTCTACGGTGACCACCGCTGCGGCCGCCAAACCATCGCAAGTCATTGATAGTAGTATTACTAGTAGTGGCGATGGATCGGCTACTGGTGAGCAGTCTAAGACATTGTCTACTCCCACCACCACTACCACCATCACCACCGCCGCAGACGACAAGCCATCGAAAGTCGTTGATAATAGTAGTAATGGTAGCGGATTGTCACCTGGAGAACAGTCTAAGACATTGTCTATCGACGCCATTACAGACGCCGTCAATCCATCGCAAGTCATTGATAGTAGTAGTAGTAGTGGCGGCGGATCGGCAACTGGAGAGCAGCCTAAGACATCGTCTACCACTACCATCACCACCGCTGCGGCCGCAGTCAAGTCCTCTAAGAGTACTTGCAGTGACAGCAATAGCGGTGCGGCCGTCGATGTCATACCGCCGGTGAATGTCGATGAGTGTCGATGAATGGTGTCATGTATTTAAAGCCTAAGTTTTTGAGTGAATTTTTTTGTACATTTGATTAAATATGTATGAAATAGTGGACACAATACACGCGCGCGGCTTATGGGCAGCCTTTGAAGCCCATAACGTACTCATTATGTTAATACCCGACACGACCTGAGCCGAGCCAATAATGATCAGAATCGGCAACAAAAACACAATTTAAACCCCATTAACACAAATGGCCAGTGCTTTGCAAATTGCAATACCGATTGGCCGACGAGTGAAAATGATTTGATTGTTTTTT